ATGTCTCACCCCAAAGACATGGCAGATATTTAAAACAGATACTGCAGAGAACACCTGGTCTCTCACAAAGGATTTGAATATTTTCTGTATGAGAAATGCCCACATGGACTTCCTCAGCCACTCCCATCAGCACCAGCACAGGCACTCAGCACATCTCCCAAACCCCCAGTCACGACGAGGTCGTTGCTATAATGGGAATGGCAAAGGCTCAGTAAGTAGGAGGAGGCAGGTGGAGGAGTTACCAGCAGAAATATGCACAACACCATCTCCCATGCATAATTACTGCTTAGGCCCCCAGATCTTCAAATTCAATCACATCAGAGTTTCTCTTTTGTTCTATTCACTCTCCATAATTAAGGATATTTCCAGATGACAACAAAATTTTAAATCCCAGTGGTGTGTAAAATAGGGTAACTGGTTGAAGATGCAGGCAGAATGAAAAACATTCACATGTTTAAACATCAGCTCTATAAAGAAAAAATAAGACAGAAATTTATTTATCCTTTTCCATACTCAAAAGGCTGAGTGAACTGGGACTGGTCTGCCTAGAAAAGAGAAGGCTTCAGGGTAACCTAATTGCCCCTTCCAGAACTTGAGTGGAGCCTACAGGAAAGATGGAGAGAGACTCTTTACCAGGGAATGGTAGAGACAAGGGAGAATGGCTTTACACAAGAGTAGGTTTGGATGAGATATCAGAAATAAATTCTCCCCTGAAGGGTGGGCAGGCCCTGGCACAGGCTGCCCAGAGAAACCCTGGATCCCTGGGAGTGTCCAGGGCCAGGCTGGACGGGGCTGGAGCAGCCTGGGAGAGTGGAAGGTGTCCCTGCCCATGGAAGGGGGTGGAACGAGATGGCCTTTTAGGTCCCTTCCAACCCAAACTATTCTGGGATTCTATGACAGTTAGAATGGACTTAACATGCTTATTTTCAGAAAAAATCCTACTATCATGCTTCTGAATGTGTCATTTTTCCAAGTTATGCATAATTCAATGCATTTTCTAGAAAAAGTTATTACATAGGTATCTAAACCTTACTCTTTTACTGAATTTATTTTCACTCATCAAAATCATGTTAAATATGACAAGAAATGTAAATATAACTCTTATTTGTTGCATCCTTCTAGCACAAATAACAGTCTGCATCTCTTTGTCTACCAGTTTCCAGCTTCTTTAGAGCAGTTTCATCCAGCCTGTATCTCTTTATTCTATCAAGTTTAATACTCCTCTTCTGTTGAGGCAGGAGGTGCATTCCCATATAACAGAACAAAATTAGTTGGCTCTGATGTGATTTGTGCTTGACAAATCTATGTTGACTTTTACTTACCATCTTGTTAGCTTCTTAGTGCTAACAAGTAGTTTATTTGTTCCACAACTTTTCACATTTGTCATCGGATTGCAGCTGACCTTCTTAGGGAGATTGAGGCAAAACAACCATTAAATACTTCAGCTATCTTGGAAACATCTGCTCATGGCTTAATGTCCCCTTTAATCTGTTCAGTTATTTCTTGATTTTTGTAAAAAAAAAAGGGTTTTTGCTGGTAAAGCATTATATTCTTTTGGTTTTTTGTCCTTGATGCCCTTTGATAGTTGTATTTTTTCTGTAAGTTTGTCTCTTCCCATTCCTGTCTGTGCAATTTAATTTGTCCTTTTTTATACTGCCTTTCCAACTCCATTTCACCACAGAACATGGTGCAGACTTTGTTGTCCCCATATATTTAATTTTTCTTTCATACTGAAACAATTTGCTTCTGTGCTCTTCAACAGTATCATTCAGAATCAGAAAACTCTCAAATGTCTCTTCTCCACATCAGTTTACCCATCTCTATTTGATCTTTACTGGCACCTTCCTTACTGAGTTCACCATCTTTACGGTAACATTTTCTTTGCTGCTACTCTCAAGTCGATCACTCCGTGATCATTCATCCCAAGGTATATGTCACAATGGGATATAATCCAAATTGGATCAATTATCATATCATTTTCCAGTAATTTCCACTCAGCAAAAAAACCTGAGGTATTAAAGATGAGTCACAAAGTTGCTAGACTAGTGTCTTTTGTATGCAAGAAAAAAAGAAATCCCAAATACTCTAAAACAGACAAATAAGCTTTAATCCCTTTTTTAATCTGAGCCTTCAAGTTCTACTGAGTTAGAAGTATTATTCTTATATTTCTATCAGACTAAAAGTGAAGTAACTTTTTCCTTGTGTTTACCTCTAGGTCTGACCCCTCTGCTGGCAGTGTTGTTATTCCTGCTGTCCATAGCTGCCCACTGCCATCCTTTGTCTGCTCCTCCTTTGCTGACAACCATCAAACACAGGAACATTCTTATATTCAGAACCTGGGAACCATCTCAAATGGTGTTTCAGCTGCTGCTCCAACCTTCTGATTGCTAATCCACACCTGGTGCATGCTGTTGCTTCAGCCCTTGAAAAACACTGGAACTTTCAGCAATTCTTCACTTAACCTCCCTGGGAAATAACTCTTGGCACCAGCAGGTTCAGGGAGGTTTGTAATCCAGCACATGTCCAAGGCAGTAACGCTGAAAGCCACTGAGCCTCCAGCGTGAGCTGCTTGGGTAAGAAATTTATCAACCTCCAAACCATTTCAGAAGTCAATTTGTCCCTTTCATTTAGAGTGCAGTGTGCAGAAGCCTTGCTTGGGTTTTTTACCTTAATGTACTATTTCCCGCGAGGAGAGAAAATGTTTTAAAGTAGATATAAAAACATCACTCTAAATTTGTAGGAATGTGTTTGTCGGTTTTCTGGTTTCTTCTCCAAAAGAGAGCTCAGCTTCATTACACATTTCTTCCCCAGCACTCTTTGGGATGTAAGAAAATGTAAAAATTATGCTGTTTTCACTACAGCAGACCACTGGTGCTTAATACAAAGAGCTAAGTAATAACAACTGTTTGCACAAAAAAGCATTACTATATATATTTAAATTTGCCTGGACCACTCTTTGTGCTTTTTCTCATTATTTCCTTTTTTTTTTTAACCACTGGCAAAACCCTTTCCTTAAGGCTCTCCACTCAGTGTTTACATACAAACCGCAGGCCAAGACAATTCATCTCCTTTCAAAGCAATATCTGCTGGCAGCAGCTTGTCTGCATGTCCCTTCCTCTTCTTGGCAGCCTTTCTCATCTAAATTATTTCATATTTTCCTGCTTTGCAGTAGGAACTGGTTTGGTGTATTTTTTCTGTTTGGTTTTCTGTTTTCACCTTTCCTTCATAATAGCTATTTTCTGGAAATTGTCTCAAGAGAGGAATCATAGGCACATCCTAAACGACATCCACGGGAGTGCCCAAAGAGCTGCAGAGATGGGAAAGGTCTGGAGGAGAAGCTTATGAGGAGCAGCTGAGGGCCCCTGGTTTGTTCAGCCTGAAGGAGACTGAAGGGAGACTCCACTGGGGCCTCCAGCATCCTCCTGAGGGCCAGGGGAGGGTACCAATCTCTGCTCTCTGTGCCCAGGGACAGGAGGGAGGGGCTGGAGCTGTGTCAGGGGAGATTGAAGCTGGATTATCAGGAATACCATCAAGTCATCAGAGCTTTCTAATATAGACCAATTTTCAGGGGAACCAATTTTCTGAAGAGATACAAAACTGCTCTCACTCTGAGCTTTCTTCCTAAGAGAGGAAGGAACATTCTGTGGCTCTCCCCTCACTTTGAAACAAATCTAAACCTAATTGCTGAAAACTAGGAGAGTTTTGACTATGGCAGCAAGTGACTGTCAGGAAATCTTTTACCAAATCTCAGAACATCACACAAATACAGTGTTCTTCAGATCAGACCAAGTTGCATTTGCTAAACTTCCAAGACACAAAATTGTTGTCATATTATAGCAAAAGTTCCATACTGCTGTCTCATTATCACAAAAGTTTCATACCTTCTTGGTGTTTTCTCGTGGGCAGCTTCTCAGAGCACAGACTCTTTCTTCACTATTGCCCTGTGCAGCTCCCTGAGAGGAGGCTGTAGCCAGGTGGGGTCTGTCTCTTCTCTCAAGGAACAAGTTGTGTCAGGGAGGTTTAGACTGGATATTAGGGAAAAATTCTACACTGAAAGGGTTGTCAAGCACTGGAACAGGCTGCCCAGGGAAGTGCTGGAGTCACCATCCTTGGAGAGATTTAAAAGATGTGTAAATATAGTGCTTAGGGACAGAGTTTAGTGGTGGCCTTGGCAGTTCTGGGGGAACATTTGGACTTAATCCTAAGGGCATTTTCCTCTCAAAAACAATCCATGACTTAGAACCAGGCTTAACAGGCCAGCTTGTCCTGCAAGTACAAAAAAACTTAACAAGGGTTGATAACATGAGCAACCAATCAAGCCCAATAGTAGAAAGGTTTACATTTTGGCTCAACATATCAAGACCTATTTACAGCAGTGAATGCTGGGGTAGCCAAAGAAAAAAAGAGTATAAGCAAATGTAGGCTTTCAGTTTTTACAACCCTTTACATCCCCTCATGCTGATCTTAATAAACAGGTTGCATGAATATCTTAAGTTCCCTATGCTCACCTCCTCTGAATGCATACACAAGTACAGTCTAACAAAAAAAAATCTTCAATTTCCAAAATTCAGATTTTTACTGGTTTAAAAGGAATTTTGTTCTGGATTTTAAATTAAACCCAAGGAAATCCTCATTCTTTAAAGACCTGTGGAAGCACAGATCTCTGTAAAGATCAAAGCCAGATTCTATGACCAGGACTGGATTATACCAGTACAGAAAGGATGTGTGAAACAGGAGCCACTAAGCCACGTGTTAACAGGTAGACAGAAGAGTCACAGGGGCAGAGTGAGGCTTTTGATCTCACTACACAATTGTATCTTTTAAGAACAACAGTTACAAGCTCAAGAAAAGAGACCTAAATGGAATTTGAAGAAGGACCTTAGTGACTTAAACACTTGGGAATCTTCTGAGGAAGTGTTCTGTGGGTAAGGACTTACCCAGTAATCTCCATTACACCTTTAGCTACACTACCAAGAACTTAAAGACAATAAAAAATTCAAATATGGATGGTATTTACCTGTGATGTGCTCTGCTGGACACTGTGTCTACTTGACAAATGCTGTGGAGACACAAAATAGTAAAATTTAAACCTTTTTGAAAGTAAGAAATATTTACATTGTATTTATGTAGCATTAGCACAGTAATTCTAAAATATGACTTTCACAATTATTAACAACGTTTCATGCCTTTTTTCAGTGTATCATCACTCACAAGACCACTTGCTTTCCTAAAGGCTTTTCTCAGTTAAGCTGTTTCTCTACCTATCTATTTGCATTTACAGGGAGTATTTACTCTAGACTTTAAAGTAAATGGCTGTCACAAGTCAGACAGAATTTCAAAAAGAAATGTTATTACTGTGTTGGAAAATTTCATTATTCTGTATAATCTCTGTCTTCTCCTGCTAAATGGGAAGATACCCCACCACTAATTCTCCTCTCCTGGTATGTTGTCTGTGGAAAGGTGCATTTGTTAAAACACACAGGCATCTAGAAAGAAAGATGGATTTTACACATTGTTAAAACTTTTTGCTCTAATAAAAAATGAAATCCTGAAAATTGGTTAAAGACTCTTCTACAATTTCAGCTGCCCAATACCTGTAAATAAGAATCAGTACAAAGAACTACATGTCTAAAAACTCAGAGGATGATGCTGTATTTAAAGCCTTTTATGCTAGAAGATGATGTTATAATCAGAAAATGGACTGCAAGACTCACTGAAGCCATTTAATCTCCAAAGGGAGATTTAAATACTAATCTAAATTGAAAAGGTTTCAGAGAGCTTTAAAAAAACCCATCATTAATGATTCTGCCATGCCTTTTTCCCTGCACATCATCTTAATATTAGCATTTTAAACCAAAATATTAACATTGACACTGCCACACATTATTAAAAACTCCCTTCATTCTCCCCACTTCCCTCCTTCTATTACAAACCCAACATCTCATTCTGACCAAACATTTGCACTCTATATCAGAATTAGCAGCTCTGTTGACAAATATGAAGCTTCAAAGGAGCTGAAATCAAAAGATTGTCCACAAAATGTATCTGGCAATACTCTTAAATCACAATGTTGTCTTTCACAAAGAACACAAATGAGACTTTTTACCACAAAAGCAGAGACACTCTTCGTAATGAGAACAAACCAAGGAGGTGCTGGGGTACTGAGGGAGCTGGCAGAAGTGCTCACAGAGCCCCTTTCAATCCCTCACCAGCAGTGGGCCCAGCTGGCCAAGGATGCCCCTGTGTTTGACACTGCTGATGCCACATCTCAAATCCTGTGTTCAGTTTTGGGCCCCACACTACTGGATCAGCTATTAGGGAAAATTTTGGCACCCAAAGTCATCCAACTGGACAAAGCACTGAGCAGCCTGGTCTGAATACAGTATTGACCTTGCATTGAGAGCAGAAAGTTTGCCTAGACCTCCCTGAGGCCCCTTCGAACCCGAAAAGCCTTCCAAAATGATATAAAAACAGGACTGTTAAAAAATTATCCATCTTCATTCCAAAAAAAAAAAAAAATCAGTTTTATCTTTATTTTTTCCAAAAGATAGTCGAAAAGCCTTCCAAAATGATATAAAAACAGGACTGTTAAAAAATTATCCATCTTCATTTCAAAAAAAAAAAAAAAAATCAGTTTTACCTTTATTTTTCCCAAAAGATAGGTGTCTGCAAAGGTCGTGCAAACTTTAAGAGATACAATGTTCAGTATATCTTTCCTCATCAAAGTGTTTTCTGATGCTTAAATTGATTCCTTGCTATTTTAACCTAGGCCTATTGATTCTTTTCTTATCCATCATTAGGATGAAAAGATTAATTCACCTTGTGATTCCATTATAACCTCAAATCTCCTCTACAAACCCACCTAAGCTTGTAGTGTCCCCACCTGTACTTCAGAGCCAACAACCGCCTGCAGGACTTAAAATGTGACATTTATGATTCTCCCTGGTATACTACATTTTTCACATAATTTCTTAAATTTCTCTCCATTATTTGGAATTCTGATCCTTCCCTCCACTGAAAGAATCAGAAATACCATTTCCAACTTCGTAGATTTTGTATATTTAGTAAGCAGACTCCTTATTTCAGCATCTAGTCCTTAATTAAACTTGAAGTACTAAAAAATGGAGGATGACCCCAAGAAATTCAGCTAATTCATCCCTCCTCCTATTTAATCAAATTATTGACAACAATTTTTTTTATATGTGCTTTCTAATTAGCTCTGTGTTTACATTACAGTAATTTCATCTAGAACTAATGACCTTTCAAGAATTTTAATTAAAACAAACATTTAAAACCTTTACCAAAATCTAAATATGGCATCGGCTGCTTCTCCTCTATCCACTAGACTTATCTATGTTCTGGAACTTTTAAAAATTGCTTATTCTGGACAAGTTCACACTCACTACTACTCATGTCCTTGCTGCAAGTTATTATTATTATTTTCTAGCATTTTTTATAGGGAGAGAAAAACTACCAGCTCCTCCTCCATCACCTATTCTTAAGGTGTGAAATTGGCTTGCCCTTTGCTGGTATTCTGGAACCTTATCTGTTTTCCCAATGATTATCACTAACCAATGATATGGCTTCTCCAAAGATCCCAACTGGAATGCACACAGCTCCAAATCCTCTGGAACTGAAAACTTCTTGAGAAAGTTACCACCTTATCAGAGTTCAGTGGGGCAAGAAGGACATTAAGCGCCATGTTATTTTCTTGCATCACATGGCAGTTGGTTTTTCCCAGTATAAAAACTTTTAGCTTCCCAGTTAGCAGCAGGTTATTTATATAAAACTGTTTCTTGATACAATTGACCACATTTGCTTGTTATATTTGAATTTGTGCACTGCCTTTCTAATTTTTCTATTTACACATTTGTGCTATTCTATTATATGTCTTTATAATCCTGTTTTTGTAAACTGGCTTTCAGTAATCTCAATTTCCCTTTCACTCTAATGCCTGGAGGAAATGAAGAATTCTGAATTTACCCAACTCGGCCTGTTAGCAAGCAACTTGTGCTTTTGTTCTTAATTTAATGAAAGAACTATCAATTCTCCTTACCTCCATTTTCTCATCAAACCTCTTTCTCATGGCATTTTATCCACCAATATCAGTTTTCAGTGTTGTTCTTCCACATTCCTTCATAACAATGCCTGGTGAGTGAATCCCCTCATTCCCAAGTCAGTCTTAAACTGCTTTCTGTCTTCATATTCTCCTCTGACTTTTTACTGGGCTTTAGAACCCAACACACACAAACCTGTTCTCTGTCAATCTGCTTGGTTTTACAAAGAACAACCAAGAAAATCAAAAAAGAAAATCAACAAAGATTTCATGTTCTTCTCTCTGGCTTGTGCCCAGTTCTTTTCCTTATCTAGAAGAGTTTTGGGTAACTGAATTCTTATTTTCTTGACTATTCCATCTTACCAATCACATTTACCATTTGAATAAAGAATGAACAGTTCTGAGACGATGGCAGCATTAATTTGAAACTATTTATTTAGGAGCTGTATTATTTTTTTTTTTAATTAGGAACTCTGGTGAACTCATGGCATTTCTCTCACAGTTGCAAGAAATGCCTAAGCTGCAGCAGTTACACAGCCAAGAGCTGTGCCTTTCATGCATCTCCTGAACTTGTCCTGAAGACAACACCCACTTCAATAACCTTATAGAAAAGCTAAACATAATTCATCACCAGCTTTGAATATTTCTGATCTGTGAAATTACTTCAGACATTTGTGTCTTGTAACCCTTCCACTAAAATGTGCCATCCAAGTGTTCCTGACATCCTGCAGGACTTTGTGTTCCTAAATGACAACTTCAATCCAGGAGCAACTCCAGCGCTGAGCTCTGTGGCAGAATTCTGAGAACATATTTTCCCACCATTCAAAAGTAATATGTATTTTTAAGAAGTGTTCTGTCATATTGGTTAAAGTCACAAACGTTGTCATAGGGAAAAGGCAATTTGCTTTCCTTCAGGAGCAAAGCAACAATTCCTGACAAGTGCTGTGCATCCTGCAGCCACTGGCATTTAGCTTCAGAATGAGTAACATGGAGAAGCAGGATGTGCAACTCCTCAGAGCACAATAGTTCTGCCAAAGAGATGAATACAGCATCACCCAGCAGTCACAAACACACTTAGCAATGAAACATGAGAGCTAAAAGAGAGGCTCAAATGTAACAGCTTACAATTTCTCAAGAAGAGCAGTGCTAAGTCTAATGACTGAGTGAAAAGTGCTTGAACCTCTGCTGTCACAGAGAGAAAAGTCTGCTGTGCTACCTCACCCATTGCTCTGCTAATGAGTGTTTTCTATGTTACATTTAACATCCTGCAATCCTGAAAATATAAGAAAGTAATTTGGCTCTCACAACTATTCCTGCAAGATTATTTTATAATGTAAAACCTCACTGCTCATTTGAGAATCCATAAAGTATTTAGTCTTAAGTAAGGAGGAATCTTTCCCTGGGTTTTTGTTAAGTAATAAAAACAATCCCCAAACCACATTAGAAATAACCCTAAAACAATCTAAGTCACCAACATACCTTTCCTTCATTTTTTACCAAATTTAAGTTAAAAAAAAGTAACAGGTTTTCAGCTGCTTTGCTTCCTGAAATTGCCTCCTGACTGTGAAGAGATGTGATTAGACAGTACTGTCCTCTTGCATCTACAGACTCCAGCAGCAGTGGAGTGTGAAGTGAGTAATGGTGCTGTCCTGAGCCTGCCCAGGATGGAGCAGCACAGAGACAGTCACAGGACTAAGGGGTGACATAATCAGGCTGCTCTGGCAATAAATATTGCCTATTTGCAGTACTCCAAGTACTCAGAGTAAAAAAATGTGCAGAATAAGCCTAAGAGTAATAAACCAATCCTTAGTTAGCAGCTAATCTCACACCCTGAGTCTTCACTGATGGAATTTGCTACCGAGTTATTTCCAGGCCGTGCTGAAGGAAAACTCTGCCATACTGGCACTAAATTCTCCTCAGACCATGGCAAATTAGGAAGAATCTTTAAAAATTAGCACTATAGACTGGTGTACTTTCATATTTCTTATGCAATAATTCTTACTTCTTTCCATGAAATCCACTATTATACAGTGCAAATAATCCAAACCAGCAACAGCATCCAGCTTGTTTACAAAACATACCCTTGTGTTTAAGGAAAAGTCACATCTTGCAACCAAACCCATCACCAAGCCATGGGCCTCCTTGTCCCTGGTCTTAAATGGCTGAAAGTCAGAATTGTTTTAAAACAGGAAATTAAAAGCTTCCTGGAAGTAAGTGAAACTGTAACAACATTATGCAGAAAGCAACTACTTTCTTTGGAAGACATTAAGTGAAGAAGTTGTACAAAATAATTGCTGAGGGTTTTTTATTTGTCTTTTCTGTAGACAAAACAGCATCTGAGGAAGGGTTTTCATTCACTTTCCTGAATTTTACATGCTGTTTCTCCCTCTACAGTTACATCACAATCCAAACCAAAATTATATGTATTAGTCCTACTAACAGAGAATCCAAACACAGTAAGGTAGTAAAATGCATCAGTGGCTTTACAGTTCACTAATGGCACAATTCACATTTCCAAAACAACTTCAACTTCACTTTGTACAAACAGAAGTGTACAAGTGACTAATAATGACAGCATTTGGAACTCACTCCAGTGAAGGAATTCTACTACTTCACCTGAAAATCCAAATATTCTTATTCAAATGCACTCCATGCTTTCTAAGGAGCACTGACATACAACAGGGACAGCCTTAATGTTCAAGGATTAGTTTTGCTTAAATTAACTTATACACTGGTCTCCTTCCTCTCTCCCCTTCTTTTGTGAGGTCAAAAAGTCTTTGCAACAGGGCATAGATGTTTATTATCTATGCAACCACAAGCCCAGAATTTTCACTTAGGTATTCTTCATCTGCAAATCTGCTCAAAGAATCAAATAATGGCTCTCACAGACTTTCTGGACTCAGAGAACATTCCAAGAGTTAACAGCATATTACTTTGTAAATTGAAATAAAAATGCATCAAAGCACGCCACTGCTTAGGGTAGAAGAGACACTGTTGTGGTAGTCAGGGTGCAAATGAAGAAGACATTTAACTTACAACACCACTGGAAACAAGAAAACATGTAAGAGTAAAGAATAAAAACATTTTCCCTTCTTTCCTTCCATAGAGAAAACTCAGGAATCTCCCATAGAATTTCTTACCATTTTATAAAGGTCTGAAACACTGATCTGATCTGAATCCACAACCTCAAAGTCCTTCCGTGGAACTAAGTCAAGGCCCAAATGTCTGCAAGAGAAGGAAGGAGCAGTGTCAGTGAGGCACATGAATGGTCACCAGCACCTCCTGCATGTGCCTCCTCCAGGGCAGGGACACAGAAATACTCAGCTATTCCAGTCTTACTGCAACTGTTAACCATTAAACAATTCTAAAGAAAATTTAATGCAAATATCAAAAAATCCCTCTAGAAACTTGTTACTTCTTGTTCCCCAATTTCAGTGGAGCTCTGGCAATCATTGCAGGAGAAGCTTTTGGCCAATATGTTGGCGCAGTACCCAAAACAAGGTAATTTTGCAGATGGAAATGTTGCAGGCAAAGTTCATACTCTGCTGCTGAAGTATTTGAGTAAGATCCTTCATTACATAATGAAAAAGTTCCATTAATAGTCCTGTTCAAATGTGCCAACAGATTCCGAGCCTTGGGAAGCTGCTTTGATATTCCTGGTGTTCATAGAACTTTACCCCCATGTAAACACAGTAATTTTTGTTAGTAATAAACAATAACTGCAATAACAATAATCTTAATCTGTATTCATAACACACACAATTTTTTTTTTCATTATTCTGAACAGAATTATTACTTTGGCTCAAACCAAATATATAAACTGATAAAAAAATACCAGTGCAAAGATGACAAGTTAAGGAATTCAGCTGTAGAGAAGGCAGTTCAGGTCACAGCTTCACAGGAGTAGCAGACAGAATAAGATATTCTTTATCCAGACAAATAAATGCAAACTCTTAATGATTAATTAATAACTGTAGACTGCAGAACAAGACAACCTTAAAGGTGACAAACCCCAAGTTTTGCTCCATAGATCTTCAGTTTCTGAGGCATAAAGAGCTCTGAGCTTTACAATAAATAGCTACACTAAACACATATTAGGAGTTAATTTTTAAAAAACACAACACATGAATTAAGCATTTTCCCGCTTTTGCCTTATATAACTTTGATACTTCACTTCCAGACATTTTATATTGAAATTCTTAACAGTCTTAAAGAAAAAAAAAAAAAGACAAACAGAAGAGGTGCCCTCACAAATTACCATGGCACTCCTGTCACAAACTATAAAATAAAAGCAGAAGCCAATTTAATTTTGTAATCAGAGAGGGAAACATTCTGCACAGACTTGTTCCTGATGGCAAATGAAAAATTTTATTGAGAAAAACCTCTCTGGTACTGTAGAGTAATTGTGTGGAGCAATAACAGAAGGCTCCAGGCAATCCAGTGTCTCTTTCTGAGCAATTGGCTTAAAACAACAGCTGGGGAGAAGCAGCGGTCTGGAGGAAGCTCAGCTACCTTTGCTCACCATGGTGCTTTTAAACACTACACAGAAGTTTCCAGACTTCATAATTCTTTTTTTTGCATCTTTGCCTAAGCAGGTTTTCCTTCTTTATTTATATCGCTAAACCATCACAGCTTCAAAATACAGCTGAGCCCTGTTCACTTACCCTGGCAGCACTGCATGATCATTGAAACCCCCTACTGCCCAACTGGAATTTCTGTGTTCTCAGTTCTCTGCTCAAATCAATTATATTTTCAATTGAAAAAAGGAAGCAGCTTTCCTTCTTCAATGCAGTTTCATGTCAAATTCCAAATTCTAAATTCTGATAATACATTGTGAACGTCATGGTTTCACAGTTTGTTTTGATTAAACCTATCAAACACAAGTTATCTGTGGCCCAAGACCAGTATCTGAAAACTGCAGCTGCAACAATGAAAATGACTGCATCTATTTACCAAATGAAAAAGATTAAAATAAGGACACGCTATGTAATCCTTACCTGCAGCTGCCAGCTGAGCCTACTTATCACAGAAAGTCAAAAAATATTATATAAAAAAATGGTAAAAATCAGTCAGAGATCACTGTAAAGGTTTTTTTTTTTTTTTCAAATGTTAATGCTCATCAAATTCATTCACAGAAGCTTTCCTGAATGTGAGTATCTAAACAACCTCCAAAACACCCTGTCATTCACATGTGTGCACCCTCTCACCCCTAAAATACATTGATGAAGGGATTTCCCCTCAGCACACAGATATGAACAGATTATTCCCTACTAACATTATCAAAGCCATTGTGTGTGCACTGCAGTTCCAGGGCAGTTCCAGAGCTCTATTAACGTTCCCCAGGAAAACCTGGCCAAGCCAATCCTGAACTGACGAGGTTCTGTTCACATCATTTCAGCTCTCTGGAGAGCTGGGGTGAAGCAGTGCCTGCACTCATTACTCAGAACATGACAAAAGTATTATCTTCTGCTTAATAATGTTCAACACAACTGCAGCAGCATCCCTGTGAAACTTATCTAATACCCTATTTTTAGTTAAATCCCTTAACACCGTGGATTTTCAGCCCAGAAGATTCTCATTCTCTAATACTATGTTAATCCTGCACAACACTTGCTCCCAGCAAATAAGGGTGTCTTGGCTGGAGCACAAACATGCAGCCATTTACTGTGCAGGTGGAAGTTCAGGTTTGTACACTCAATTTGTATCAATTATATTTTTGACTGTGAAGGACTGACAACATAATGCTTGAGATGGCAATGACAGTCAGTGGCCCACTTTCCCTCTCTATTATCAAACATTGGGAGAATAGAAGAGCCCCAGCTGCCAGGCAGCATTTCTCCAAAACAGAGCATGCATAAAAACTACATAATGTGCTGGTTTGTTTATTTGACAGTTCCTGTCTCACAATACTTTCTTTTACAAGCAAATTCTTGTGCTTTTATTCTGCCTTCACACTGAACTGCCCTTCAAAAGTATTTCCCAAGTATACCTACAAAATATCCCCAAGCCTATCAATTACCTCTTGATTGCATCTGTTTGGGATACCTCCAGCTGGCATTTCTTCCTCATCTATATAAAAGCCTTTACAATTTTCCTTTCTTTGGGGGATAAAAATTTTAAAAATCCACTACCTAAAATCTCCAGATGATTTTCTCTCTAGTAATATGAAATCAAGCCAACTGACAACTGGCTTCTTAATAGTGAAAGGGATGAACACACAGCTCAAGGTTACCTGGGCTTCTAGAAAAAAAATCAACTTAGGTTTAATGGTAATTCTGAGGAATAGTCCTAAGTTCTAGTATCTTCACCTATTTACAACACAAACACTACAGCATTTAGAATTCATAAAACCACAAGTCAGCACAACTCTTCCTAAAAGAAGAACCTTAAAGAAATATGTCATTTGATGTAAAAAAAAAAAAAAAAAAAAAAAAAAAATCTTTCAAATGCAAACTCAGTCTTGAAAAACAGATTGGGAGAGCTCATCACATCTCTGGAGGGTGTAAGATCTCATCCCCTTTGCTCCAAAAACATCCACTTTACCTCAACCTTTTCAGCTTTAATTTTGCAGCCACCACTTTTTATTTTATTCCTCCTCTTAGTATATCAAAGCCTCACTTAATATAATTTGTATTTCTCTCACACAAAGATGGTGAAGGGAAGGAAAAGCATGCTAGCAGTGATTCACATCAACTATGCACAGACTTTAAAATAGACTTTGAAGCAAATACAATACAGAAGTCCACAGAAAATTAAACACATGAAAAAACCATGTTTGTCAAAATGAGACTCTGCTAATACAAACCAATAATTTTCTTTAACAGAATTAAGTTAAGTTATACAAACAACTGCAAGGGCTGCAATATACAAAGAAATTACTAAAGTACTGATGTAATGATACACAGGAAATTCTTAAAATGAGGATGATGAGATGAAGGTAAATAATCTTAGTTAGGAACTGATAAAAGGGAATTGGAGCAAATACTTCTGAGCATGGCAGTATCAGGCTACAGAGAGGTTTTTCAGGTTTTCCTCAAAGACTGACTTTCAGCCAAGTTCCTTACACCTTTAATCCCAATGATTACTCCAAGCATATCAGGAGAGAAAGATGCTGCACATTCAGACAGAAATGGCAGCTGTTCTTCCTGCAATTCTTAAAGGCATTTCTTCATGGTTGTTTAAGTTGGTCACTCCTATTTTGATCTGCTTTGATGTAATGACAGCTACTGTAATAACACTGCCTTTAATTCTCCAAGCAGGTATCATCTGTACTTTTAATTCTTATCTTCAGATGCATTTCACTAACTTTAAGGTAATTGTTACAACACTACCAAATAGTCACTCTTATTCCTTTTATGTCAATAAAATATGACAAGAGGATAAATCAGTCCAAGCCCCAAAATAATCTAAGAGTGTGAGCACTGAAATTTAGGACTTTTTGAAATTCAAGACTGTGCTGACTTCACTAGATCACACAATTCCTGCCCTCCACAGTTGTGGATGTCAGTAGTTAGTAGGTACTAACCAGCTGCTACAGGCTTTCCAATTGCAATTCTGAGGAAGGAGAAAAACCATGACCTTAAAAGTGTTTCATTTTCTTTGTATGACAGTGTAAAAGATTTATTGCTAATATTTTGCCCTTTGTTTTTCTTTTTAAACACTCATTTTTACCTTCTGGCTACCCGTGGATCTTTCTGAGCAGAATTTATGGCAACGATTTGGAAAATTTCTTTTAATGCAATGATTTTAATAACGTTTTATGGGAAAAAAAAGAATAACCTTTGACTAAAAAGTAATATAAGCCTACAAACTCATCTTGTTTATGGCTTTTATCTGTCAAAAATATCAAGCTATTGGTGGCTCCCCCTCCTTACTCTGTTTCTGACCCAAAACATAGAATACATATTCCACATTTATAGGGAAGGAAGTGTCTTCCCTGAGTATGCAAGGAGACCTGGATGCTTTCTGGTAGTCTCCTGACAGATGCTACATTAATCTGAAAGAATCAGTCCTGAAGATCAGGTGAGATGACCTCTGATTTTCAAGTTGAATTACTTTGAAGAAAGCTTCATCTGCCTTTCTGGCACACAAGGTATTTCACATACTGCTGCAATTAGCTTTTGGCACTGAAGCAGAAGCAGAGGATTCACATTTCAAATAGAAGCTCTGTCAGGCAGATTCCTTCATCTGTTTTTGATGTAAAAGACTCCACAATGAAACAGCTCTTCATCAGCAAAAAAGCTGCATTCTGGTTTCCCATTCTAAGCAACAGTAAAAGTTGAAAGACTTATCCATTCATGCAGAAGCAAAAACCTAAACAAAAATTTCAAAATCAAGTATCTATTTTATTTGAAACGTGTTGGAAAATGAGATGAAGAACAGAAGATTCAACTTTACAATGTGACTTAGATGAGATGATAAATAGCAGACTTCAGCTTTATAACGTTTGCTTCATGCTTTACAACTTTTTCCTTGTTATTCACAGACCATTGGACACTTCCAATAGCATTTCAGACTTCCATAGATCAATATTATGGCCAATTGTATCATGGTGAAACATTGCTAGAAAGCAGAAGTATTTGCAATATTCTGTATAAAACCCAGCGAGATAAGCAGGAAAGAAAACAGCAGATAAGATTTTGGCTGTGCAAAAATACACAGAGATGCTTAAAAGTGCAAGTCTAAAACCAGCAAGGGGCTCATCTGAAGGTACCGAATTCTCATTGGGAAATACAAAAACCTCTGTAGCAGCAATATCAGACCTGCATTTGTACAAACCTAAGCTACATGGGGGTAAGTGGAACAAGGAAGAAAGCAGGAATGAATGAATGAAAAAAAGGATGAGTCCAGGATCTTTCTTTTGTACAGGGGAGAAAGAATGTGTAAGCAACAGAAAATGGAATGGCTATAGGAAGCGGCAATCAGTATTGTGTTAGAAAAATGATTAGCAATAATACAGGGGTTTAGCAGCAACTATTGTAAAATAATATTCCCACATTTAAATTGGCCAAACTACAGAGCAAAACTTCTTGGTATTTACAGTAAGCATAGAAAACTAAGCAAATAGAAGGTATGAAAACAGTCCAAATGAGCTCTTTCACAGAAAAAGAAATCTGCAGCTATTCATTCAAGGAGGGTATCTGTCCCTTGATTTCCACGAGCTCCTACCAGGACACAAGGGATGACTTCCAGAGCCATTGCCAGTGTATTTAAGGGAAAACTGTACCAGTTGAACAAAGTGAAAAAAATCAGTAATTGGTGATAACAAGTAGTATGAATTTCATGTTTGCATCACTCCTTCCCAAAGAATACAATTCATTGATGATCAAGGTCAGGATAAAAAGAGTCTCTCACTACATAAACAAACATGTTATATATTAGATGTATGAGATTACTGTTTCCTGAAAGCTGCTTGGCAATGGAATATCTCCTGTTACATTGCACTGTCTTGAGTAATTACATCCCTGCTCAAACTGCAGGGAACTCAAGCTTCTCAGACAACATTAATGCACATTAATAACAAATGCTTTTCATTTCTTTTATTTGCAAATCTCAGGTATGACAGAACAGCAATTAACACTATTATAATACTTGAGAAAGGGCAGTACTATGTGAATATGTCTATGAAAGTCATTAGTATTTTTAGAAGATTAACACAGGAGGTCTTAAGTTTTGTGATAAACCTCAGAGAGGGGGGATAGAAGAAAGAGGCATAACTCTTCCAGAAATTCTGTGGAAAAGAGTAATAGTGCAGAAACACCCCTGAAGCTCCACAGATTTAGATTTAAATACTGCACGCATCTCTGATATCATGCATCTCTTTCTCTAGGGAGTTCAATAATTGTAGGAAGAAACAGAAAATTTTTTTCCTAAAGAAGCATCCTGAGTAGATGAATATAATCCTGAACATATTTATGGACTTCACTGAGGCTTCTCCATAACTGTCATGCATTAGATTTACCTTTCAAGTTTGAATTACATTCCTATTTAATGGTTTTACATCAAAAAAGTTATAGGCACCTCATGGAACAACGTATTCTCTTCACTGTTGCATTGCTCTCTGCTCTTCTCATCTTTTTTTTCCTCACAGCATTTTTGCAGCTTCCTGTTGTTAATTTGATCCAAAAACTCTGAGCAAAACCAGGCAGGCGTAATACTCAAAAACAGTCTCTTGGTTCCTATTTACTCTACTGGGAATAAGAATGGGAAATGTCTGTAATTCTGCGCTGCAGAAAGACTTGATGCAATCTATTGGTCTATGTCCTTCAGAGCTTTCTTTCAACAAGAGAGAAATGAAGTGCAGCGAAGGGGCTGCTAAACCTTCATCAGGGTGCTCAGGTATGTCCCTCAGAGGGGGTTTTGAGGTAGGTGACCAAAGAAAGAAATCAAACAAACATAGCTTAATGAAAAACACAGGGATTTTCTCCTTAGCTGTCAATTTACAGGACTCCCCCCCACTCCCACATGCTCATTAGCAGTAATCCCAGTCCCAGTAGGAAACTCTGTTTGTCTGAGAGTGAGTGTCACAACTTACCTGTCTGATCCACATCCCAGGACACGCAAGTCTGGCCAAGGGCTGGTTTTTGTCTAACGGCAATTTACTATCATTTCTGTGTGAATGAATTGCAGCTGTCTTTGCCTTTAAAAGAACTTCTCCACAAAACCACCATGGAGCTAACCAAGGAAACTAAACCTCTGAGAAGTGTCATGATACAAAAAGTCTAAATATCGCAGCCTCAGCTCCCATGTCCCTGGTGAACTGAGATTTTCTACTTTCTGCACCAACCATTGTAATACTTCCTCAATGGAAGAAAAATGTATTTTAAGTACCTCCGAACACATCCTCCCAGGCCTAATATTCTCTAGGTTGACACCAAGTAAGTGAAGTGACCTAATCCTTTTATAAGTGCAGGGAGCCCTTGGAAAGGCCTACTGGTAAACAGCTCATTTCACACCAAGAGCAAAACTCCCTGTAGAAGGCAATAAATTCAGGAAAAATTTATACTTGATTTTCAAATAATCCCAAGTTCTCCCTGTGCACAAATACCATTGGAAAGAAAACGTTGAGTAGGGTTTTTTTGTTAATAACAGTTACTTGAGAAGAATGAGAAGAAACAGGACCCAGTACTTACTCATTGCCCCAGTCCAGCCTCACTGTGAGGTGTCTCTTGACCTCTCGCACCTGATCCTGTGTCAGGTGCCCCGAGAGCAGCTGCCTGCGGAGGTCAATGAGCTCATTCATCACATGCCGCAGCTTGTAGAAAAGATCTACCTTATGTTTCTGCAAAGGCACATTTTTGGGAGGAGGGGGGAGGAGGGGGAGGGAAAAAGAAAGAGGCAAGGAGGGAGGAAAAAGCAGAAGAAAGAAAGAGAAGGGGAGAGAATAAGTGTGGAAAGAGAAAGTGTGAGAAAGAGAGAGAGAAAGAGAGAGATTAATAAGTTACCCAATTTTCATTTAATTACCCTAGAGGAACATCAATCCAATTTTTGTGAGCCTTAAAATATTTACATCAAAAGGTAGTGTTAACTGATGCAATTCATACTAAATAACTTCTTATTCCTGTGGTTTAGGTTCAATCTGCTAAGAGGCCCATTTTCTGATGGAACCTAATGCTAAATAAGAGGATTCATTAGTCACAGCAGGAATCGCTTCTTCCAATCATACAGTAAATGTAAAATTTTAGATTTGAAGTGATAGGGGTGAAAAAGTTTACTTCTGTCAGCAGCTAACTGAATGGCTCTGAGCATGCAGCAACAATGAGTCACCACAACAAAAAAGCATTTTAAAATTATTTGTGATATTCCAGTTACTAAAGTTCAGCCAGGTATGAGGGGGGTGGGTGTGTGAAAATTCATTACCTGGCACTCTAAAAAGGACTAAAGCATTTAATAATAAAATCCACCAGGAAAATTACTTTGAAAGGGAAAAAATTCCATAGGTAATATAAAACCCCCCACACCACCACCATCAGTAAAGACAAATAAACAGAAAATACCCCCAAAGACTTACACAACTAACACTGTAATCCTTTCCAAAAGAACTGGTATTATTCAATTATGGAAAAAAACTCTCTTCACCAAAACCAAATCCACTCCAACCAGACAGAAGTGGAAATACTTTTTTCCCCTGCAGGCAATAATTATTTGTGAATTCCCCAAAAAGGAAAGTTTGAGGCCAACAACCAAGGCCACCCATAAGAGAAGATAAAATAAGGACATTTGTCCATTTGTCTCTCTTCTGGGTCAGCACTGTGTGTCAAGGGGACTCGTCTCCATCCAGTCAGTCTCCAATACTGCATAAAACAGCCAATGTGCCATGAAAGAGGAGCCCAAGAAGGAAAACAAGATCTCCTGATGCAGCTGGATGCTGTTATTTGAACAGTTGAGCTCCATTCCCACTGCTTTGCAAAGGCTGAAGTGTTTGAATCTCACTTGGGAAAACACCAAGTGGATGGACTGACATGGAGACTTGATCAGCTGGTCCTGCCTCGATCACGTCTCTGCTTGTACATGAGTGGGTTATAAAGCCCTCTAAACACAGACACCTGCATCTACCAAGATTACATCTGACAGAGGAACATCCACAAAGAGAAACATAAGTGTTTTCTGTTGCAACACATTATTAGAACAAGTGTTTTTCAGTTGTTTACCAAAAATAGCTGAGATGAGATGAAAAAAGAACTTCCACCTACTTGAGTTTGTTTTCCTGTAAGACCACTAGATCTGCATGACTTAGGAAAACAGACATCAATGCAATCCATTATGATAAGCATTTTTAAAATTTCTCTGAACCTGATTGCACATCTGTTTTGCTGAAGCAGGTTAAGCACAGATGGCATCATCAGTTGTTCCTATCAAACAATTTTGAGATGAAAAGATGCACAATCTTTCAACTCTGCATCAATACTGGTTCTGGTCCCACTTGAAATAAAGAAAAACAGACACCACATCTAACAGAAAGACATAAATTTCTGGGGCTGAAAAAATTTATGCAAGGAAGATAATTGTGCATAGCTGATAAGCTTAAAATCACTCAATTTTTTTTAGGTTTTATTACTGAATGTGGTCACAAGTAAATCTTATATAAGCTGATAATGACAGTAGGTATAGGAAATGTCCATTTTTATGGTGTGGGAGATGTCCATTTTTATATGCTATTTATGTGAACAATAAAAGGTTGTTACTTTTTAAAACACAAGACCAAAACAATTGAGTTTGGTAGTATCAAAATAGCAAAGTGGGTATATTTTAATAATAAAATAGTTGGGAATTAAATTATCATAAGAATCAGGTTCCAAACCATCATATTCAGATTCCCAAGTAAACCTGCTAAGAGGGCCACTTTCTTGCTCCTATGATGATGGTCCAAGGTTATCATAGCAGTCAGGTTTAGAACACCATGCTGGGTAAATTACAGTAGGTTCTATGGTTATGTTTAAACAGCCATTTTATACAAGCCAAGGAGTATCAGAAGTACTTACTTTAAATACAAATAAAGGAGATTACAGAACATAAGTGTTTCACCTGCTTTAAACTGAATGCACAAGTATTGAGAGAGAGCTAAACATAGGGTGTCCTTCCAGAAAATCCAAGGTCCAGGGCAAGGAAGGGAAGAAGAGAAAGTGAAAGCCAGCAGAGCTGTGGCTGTGATCTCGGGGAAACTCTTATGAAGAACCATATATGCAAGATCCATGATAGTGAAGGAAAACACTCATGAGAGAGAAAGGAGAGCTAGAACAGAGTTGAAAGTGGCTTAATTCCAGGCTTGCAGGCAGAAGGGAGTTTGAAGCAGTCAAATCAGTTTCTAACATCCCTCCTCTACAGGAGCCCAGGGACTAATGAGCTTCACATGGGAGAGAAGGAAGGAAGGAGACAAGTTTTAATGACTTCTCTTTCAAGATGAAAAAAAAAACCTTCAAAATTCAATACTAAGCTAAATTACTCAGGATTCCTACCCTCGTGTAAAAAACCTGTATAAGAGATGGCCCCAGACACCATATTTAAGAAACAACCCCCTCCACCCCTCCCAAATTTTAAGTATTAAAATCCTTCCATTTTAGTTAGAGCAGCACCATAAATAAACCTGAAATTTTATCATCTTGTTAGTAGTTAAATAAAAGATGTGCAAGTTAGTCTGATGTGTAAGCATTCGTTCTGTTTCACAGTTAATTTTCATACAATCTCTAACCTCTAATTTTTTCAGCTGGCTTTATCACAAGCTCCCATGCAAGGAACACCTTATCAATCCATCCAGAATGACCTGCTGTGTGCATTTATAAACATATTTGGAAAATCTGGAATAGAAAAGTAATTATCTCTGCAGAACTTTTATGGTAATAAGTAAAATGAGACACAAACAAAGAACCTGGATGGCTTTAATGAATTGGGACTCTCCTCACAAGCAGCACAAGTCCTCTAAAACATCTTGTTGCCTCATTTTACTATCCCCAGACACAAAAATACGTGCTGTATTTCTTTGATCTGTCATAACTAACAAGTCACGCTTATCAATGTTTGGATCATCTTCAGATGTGCAGCTATGCATCAAAAAGTGGAATTCTGGCAGCATTTTTTTTTCTTTTAAGGACTCCGTATTAACTCTGTGGAGTTCAAAAGCCAAAAGATGGGTTTGGTGTGGAGCTTCCCCCACGTGGCCCCTCTCCCACAGGCCGGGGCAGGAGGAGGAAATGACAATATCGGTGGGCTGAAATAAAGACAGGGAGCTCACTCACCAACCACCACCCCAGCACAACAGAACTCCCTTGGGGAATTTATTTATTGCCATTCCAACAGAGTTGGGTGGGGAGATACGAAGACACAAAGAACCCTTGTCCTCAAGCACCCCCTTCCCAAGCCCAACATTTTTTCCCTTTACTCCCAACTCCTCCATCCTTCACAGAATGACTTCCTCCCGACCATGTCAGGAGAATGGAGGGGTCAGTCCATGGCAGCTCCGCCCTGGTTCTCCCTCCTCCTCCCAGTTTTCCCCTGTCCAGGGTGGGTTCTGCCTGCACAGATGCCAGTGTGGATCCCAGCTCCACTGCCTGTTCACATCCCCCTGCTCAGCTCCAGTGTCTGTGGGGTTGTTTCTCCCCTTTCCCCCACATCTCCCTGCCCCAAAGCTGCTGTCCCAGAGCCCCCCCAGCGGGGCTGAGCCCTGTGGAGGCAGCTGGGATCAGCCTCTTCCCTCACACCATGGCCAGGCCAACACCCGGCGCAGGAGCTCGGGATCGCGACAGCCCAGCTGGGCCAGAAACCCCAGCACAGGCCCCGCTTCCCTGGGTTCCCTCAGGGGGCTTGTGAAACACCACGGCTGCCTCTGTCATCTTCTCTAAATAAATACCACATATGAAAATACATTACAGATTGGTATGTTACAGCAGATGACCTATTTATAGGCACTTTGTTACCATGACTTCATTTACCACCACTGTAAAGTCAGGATTTTGCCTCTCTCAAGAGCAGTCCCTTAAGACATCTCCTATAAAACTGCCTTAAGCTGTAATGAGGGAGAAGGGCACAAAAAATTATTTTCCTTATAAAAGCAAGTGAGTAGCTTTTCCCAGGTTCCTTGTTATGGATTTTGGTATCTACGTTAGATATTAAAGCCTGCAAGCACCATCAGCACATGAAAGAAAATACTAAAGCTAGAAGCAACACAACAATCCTGCCTTTCTTCTCAGTTTTGTCAGGATGATTTTAATTAAGCAAATTACTTTATATTAAAACTCTGTTGGAATTTAAAGATCTTGGCAATATTTATAGTTTAGTCTTACTCAAAATCTGTAATATTATTACCATGCAAACCTTAAACTTCACCTATCAAATTAGAGAGTATTCATCAAGTGCCTGTTGATCAATAAAGGTCAGACTACAGGTCAATATAAAGTTGTCTCAAAAATAGGAAAGAACTAAAAGTTTGTGCGGGAGATGTGGACAGTACACAGGTGTCCTGACTGGCACCCACAGAAAAAGCAATTTGAGAACACAATTAATACTTGTACATATTCATCAGTTCTCCATATGTGCCTAGACAGCTGGTCCTCTTGGATTACAGAACTAAAATGGACTTTAAAAATTATTTTAAAATACAAACAACAAATAAGTGAAAACATCAAGCAAGAATAAAGTAAAACCTCTCATAATTAAAACTACAAAGTCCATTTACTAAGGGTTGAGGTAGCATCCTGGGGTTTTCACAAGAGGCTGGGTTTGAGCTCGCCCCTCTCTGGCAGGACACCACTAAACACTGAGAGTCACTGGATCATAGAAATGTTAAGG